GCTTCCTTTGTTTCTGTTTGTTTGTTTTCTGTCCGTGGAAATCTGGGACTGATACTGGCTGGAACCAAAAACCTGCAACCATTCTACAGAGATTTGTTACAATGTTTCTCAATATTGCCTTGGAGCATCTAAAGACATTTAAATTGGTTGAGTGTCTCCTAAACAGAGACTATTGGTCATATAAACTAATTTAGGATTGAGCAGCTATATTAATTTCACTTAGAAAAATTTCATCCCAAGTCTTTCCAAAGACTTTTCCAATCAAAATTTCATCCCAAAGCTTATAAAACTCAATATTGCCTATATCCTCAGCTATATTAGATAGAGGCATTTTTAAACCAGTGAGATAAGCTGTAACCAATAAATGTCAACAAGGCAAGACACTGCACCAGATAAAAGCAATCCTTATCAGCACTGAGAGGATCAAGACATTTGTAACAAATATATGTCCAATGCAGAGAGAGAGAGCGCAAGCAAGCCCAAGAGAGTGCACAAGCGCAAGAGCGCAAAAACTGTATGGCACATGAGCACTCTACTTTTGGATATACTCACACTTGAAGTGGCAGACTTACAGCATCATTCATTTACTGAAGAAACATACTACCCGTAGAGGGTTTTTAAAGCTTTCCTCATACCTCTACTAAAGGAGGCCTTACAAAACACCATTGTAACACTTCTACAGAGCATACAGTGCCAACTGTCGTTTTAAACATGCTTTTTTTTATGGAGTACAGTTACTGCTGTACAAGCTAGTTTAATTGCTGATAACTGATGCTTGTCACCCTACATCTGCTTAGTAGTAGCCCAAGTCCCATCTACAATAAAAAAAAAGTTGCAAACATTTCCCCACTGTGGTCAAAATAAGGTTAGCTCATCCTAAAACAACAGCATTGGTACCCCCAGTGTAGGCAGAACACTGGTGCTATAACGACGCCTGCTTCAATAACCTGGCAGCCAAAACTAGAGTGCCCAACGGTGCTAACACAGTTAGAGCTAAAGCAGCCCCGGCAGCAGCAAGAAGAAGAGAGATCTGGTAATGCAGACAGCACGATGGTGACTGCTCCCAGGGGCAAGGGTACGAAGAAGCCTTTCTGAGTCCGAGGAGCCCTTCCTCCCTCGCCAGATACCTCCTTGCTTGTCAGACCCTGACCGCAGCGGCACTGGCGGGGGCGGGGCAGAAATCCTCCTACTCCCGGTTGCCAAGCCGGGTGTCAGCAAACGAGCTGTCCTCCGGCGCCGGGTCGTTGCTGGGGGCCAAGCCTGACTGTGCTGGGGAGAGGCATTTCTCCGGGGAAGGGCCCAGGGCAGAGTCCTTCCGACCCGCAGTCCCAGGCTCCTTCCCCGGCATGGCGGCGCCCCCGCGGAAGGGGCCGGGCCGGGCCGCGCCGCGCCGCGCCGGGGGAGTGTCCCAGCTCTCAGAGGCCGTGGCGCTTGCGGGCGCCGGCGCTGGCGGCGTGCAGCAAGCGGTCCTTCTCGCGGATCTCCTCGCGCAGCTGGGCCTCGGCCAGGCGCAGGCCGCGGATGCTGCCCTTCATCTCCCTCATCTTC